CTTATTTACAATAAAATTCTTTCGATAAATTCATAAATTTATTTTAACAAAATAAAAAAAAATGTAAAAAAAGATGTTACTGCAAGAAACATATGTGTGAGATGTGGAAATTTGAATGCAAACGTTTAAACATATAACTACCTTTTCTTGTTTACTCGTTTTGTTAGAAGGATAGTTAGAGAGAACGATGATAGAAAAGGAGACAGAGACAGAAACAGAGAAAGAGAAAGAGAAAGAGGAAAATAGATAGAAAGAGAAAGAGAGAGATAGGTTGGATGGAGACATTGAAATTTGCTCTTGCACGTTTTCATAATTTATTCATCGTTACTCGCACGGGAATAACCCACGAAACGTCCGTTAATATTTAGGATAGATCTAAATACTACAGTAACGTTCACGTTCCAACGCTCAAGATGGATGTTAACGCATAATTCCTAGACAGTAGATATTCGAAAACATTTAAGATAGACGTAATACAAATCGCGACGTTAAGAGGACTGTGAAGGAATAGAGCTCATGTTCATACTATATATATATATATATATATATATATATATATAATATAGTATATCCTATAGTACGTTACGGTACGGTACTCACGAATTAGCTAAGTCATAAATTATTCGGGACATAGAGGCCCGATATTCTTACCATAATGGTTTAAGAAGGAGATTTGAGAAGACGTACGTGCGAAGGACAAGTGTCATCCATATGTAATTTATAATAAGGACTTCGGATTTCGTCCAGGATCCCTGAAACTCCGAGTGTATACCAAAACCCATAGACGAATATGTTATACTTCTTATTATACTTAATTATTATGTTATATCCGTATTAAAATTCACTTTTACATATTACCTCAAAAATTCGTTCGTTATTTTTAATATCAATACAATGATATTATATTTATTCTATTTCTATAATTTTTTTAACTATCGAATATTTAGGGAGAAATTTCCCTCCCCAAAAAAATAAAGATTATTAAAATTAATAAAAAAAAAAAAAATATTCAATACGCCAGAAACTTTCATATTATTGTACTAATTAAAATTTAGTTTTCTCTTTACAATAATCATCGGATATAATATTTATCAAATTCTCGAATATAAATGTAAATCAACGTTCAAATAGCATATAAACTTTTATTATACCAATTAATTGTTCTTCCTTACAATTATCCAATATTACCAGTCACTTATTGTGATTAACTAATATAGATGTTAATTATTAACGAAATTCATATGAAACAATATTTTACTTTTAAATATTATTCAAATAACGAATATAAATCTCTCTCTCTCTCTCTTTCTCTTTATATATATATATACAATATATGTATTTGTAGAAATCCGTTTTCCTTTTTCTTATTCTTCTTGATCTTTTTATGTTTGATCAATTAATATTCCAAGACAATAGTATAATACTTTCAGTAACTGTTAACGGGTCCGATCATCCATCATACGTCGCCATAAATCCAAGTAGAAAATCGAAACGTGATTCGTCTCCAATCGACTTCGCGGATAAAGAAGAAACGTTCTTTCTTTCTCTTAGAGTAAGTGTGTGAAAGATCGCTAAACTGTTCTCGATACCACGCGGCCCGCATATTGAACGTCCGATTCTCCTATACGCTCTATGGTTTACTACTATTGCCAATAGTACAGACCCAACCGCTGTTACATTCTCTCTCTTTCTCTCTCTCCCTCTCTCTTTCTATTTCTCTTTCTCTATCTCTGTTTCGAAGTAACTCGAGCGAGAAATGCTTGCGTACTGTTTCCTATTCTTGGTGTACGCATCCTCTCTCTAACCGATAAGACATATTCCTAATATTCCAACCACTAAATTCTGTTTCAAGCAATTCAAATTATTATATAACACATAGAAATTACTGAGGTTTAAATAAAAAAATAAAAATAATTTAATAAATATTTATCTCTCTTCAATTGTTAGTATTTATATTTTAATTTAACAATATTCCTAATTCTCTAACCAACCAATTTTACTTCTAACAATTCAAATAATAAATAAAAAGTATAATAATAATAATAATTGTATAACACATACAAATTACTGAGGTTTAGATAAAAAAAAAATTAAAATAACGTTATATGTATTTATCTTCAATCATAAGTACTAACATTTCAATTTAGTAATGTTTCTATTATTTTATCTAATCAATTGTTTTTTACGATTTAAGAACAAAAAAAGAACAACCTAAAATAATTAATATTATTAATTACATATATTAATATAAGAACAAAAGAATCTGATGAAAAAAGGAAATAGTTCTTCAATGGTATCTATAATATTATCATCACGATTAAATCTTTTGAATATAATCATGGTTAGATCATCCTACGTTTTAGACAAGAATTTCTTATCAGATTTTTCTCTCAAGAAAGAAATTAGAGCATCGAGTATATATACATAGATATACATGTATACCAGCTAGAAGATCGTCACACGTGTTAGTCCTTTGTGCAATCTAATATCATAATAATACATGTAAAGGAAGTCCCTCTCTCTCTCTTTCTCTTTAGTATTAAGGTTAAGATGATCATGTATAATAGCTTCCATACGATCGACATTTTCTACACGATTACGCATCTAATTTATTCAGAAAATTATCTAAGGTTTAAAAAAAAAAAAAAAAAAAAAAAAACAAGGAAAGAAAGAACGATCATATGAGAAAAAAAGAGAGATAATACTTATCATAATATACAAAATTTCTATCACTTTTTTTTATAATCTTTCTTAAAAATATAAAGAAAGAAGGAAAGAAAGAAAGAAAGAAAGAAAGATTGATAGATAGATAGATAGATAGATAAATAGATAGATAGATAGATAGATAGATAGAAAGATAGATAGATAGATAGATAGATAGATAGATAGATAGATAGATAGATAGATAGATAGATAGATAGGTAGATAGATAGATAGATAGATAGATAGAGAGAGAGAGAGAGAAGAATGAGAGAGAGAGAGAGAGAGAGAGAGAAGAAATAATTAGATTCTAATCGAGATCAATTAAGTTTCAACGAACAAATTCATATCTTCCTCAAAACGTACACTCGAGTTAATGTACAAACATAGAAATGTCACTGATTAACATGTCTACCTTCACAGAGAGACAGAGAAATATATATATATATATATATATATATA